CCCTGCTTTGGGGCGATTCGATCGCCGCGCCGGGCCCGAGGAACCATCTGCGGGCACCGTGCAAAGCGGCGCCCGCTCACACTCGCTCTTCCAGGACGCAGGTTCTTTTTTCCTTCTCACAGATCGCTGATCCGAGCGGCCGAACAAGTGAGCGCTCCTCGAACTTGGGCGAAGGAAGGCGTGGAAAAGTATAGTGGAGGAAATGTGTTGTTGTTTGTTTGTTAAGTAAGGGGGGGTGGTACTTGGAGGAGGGAGTGGGGAATCCTCAAACCATTACACCTTGTAGATGTCAGTGGCCTCAAGGATACTTGTCACCCTTGCTTGCTTTGAAAAGAGGTGGCCAATAAAATACAGGTAGGTTTGAGATTAGACTTATAGGTGTCCGAGGTTTCCCACAGGCTCTCCTGAATCTGCTATTGGAAAAACCAGCATTGGCTGAGCCCCAGTCAATTCACCCTTAAAATTATTACGAAGAATATTTATCCTTGGTTACCTCGAACAGCATTATGTGGATTGCAGACTCAACTCTGCGGGGAGGGGGAGTCACAAACCTCGTGATTTCCCCTCAGAAACACACCCATCCCAGATTGTCCAAGAGAAAGGCTCAACACGAGATTTACACACAGTTTTGACGCCCGGTTAACCAATTTAAAAGTTTATTAGGCAAGAAATTTCAAACGCTTAAATCTCAGGCTTCAATGTTAACGCCACAGAAAATTCATTTTGCTTTGACATTTCTTGAATGGACAAAAAAGTCAGCTTCAGATAATAAAGCTCTTCAAAGAATTCTTGGGGGCTTGCAAGTTACAAATAATACTCACGCAAGCCTTCAGCATCTACAGCTAGACTAGCCTTTTCATGGGGCACAGTAAATGGCTTTTAATAAAGCAGCCGCATTTACGGCTTAAAGAGCCTATAAACGCTAGTACTTGCCAGAGCTGCGACACAGAAACCTTCATACTTAGTGGATAAGACCTTCATTTTTAAGGGTAGGACAGAAGCCAGTATTGCACGTGTGTTGCTTGAATTTAATCAGATCAGAGGTTGTTAGGCTGTGTGTGACAACAGGATCTTTATGAGGTGCCTCACAAGTTGGCTGGCCTGAGTCCTGCACCCTCTTCCATGGGGCACACACGACTTTCTTGAAATATACAATTTCAATCTGGAATTCTTCAAACTGAAGAGAGCCTATTACACCTCTTTGAAAAGGAGTAGGGATGATACTATGGACGGAGTCTATACCCTGGCACGGAATTCATACATTGAAAGGAAGGAAAAACCAGGCCATCTAGGTTAAGCGTCTGTAATAAGACTTCAAGTGAATGTCCACCGCCTTCATTTTGCCTCAATTTGCTGCCCCCAAAGAACTACCTGCCCCCATTACAGAAACAACACCGACGCGCGCATATGCACAACTCCCACGTCCAATGAACAGTTATTGTATCAAGGTTCCAGTCGGGATGTGAGAATTTAAACTGGGGATGGCAGTAGTCTGTCAACATGCCCATTTGATGCAAGGATGGCATAACGCTTCCATTGGTTGGTTCCTTTCGAGGTAAGCGGGAAAATTGGGTTCCGTGAATCGCCAAAAGCCCTTTGCTTTCTTCTCCCCCCCCCCCAGTCCTATTATCTTCTTTAAGAATCCCCAGTTTGTACACATGAATTAGCCCTAGTCTACAAATAAACTGGTAGGCGTATAGGATTTTTGTCCCCCACACCTTTAAAACCATCTGTCAGTTTGACATTTTAAAAAGAAGGAGGGTAGGGAAGGAGGAAGGAGGGGGCTGGGGTGGGGAGTCCTGTGAGGGAGAAAAGATTCGGACTCTGGAAACAAGGGGCTTGAACTTTAGTCTGAACGTGTGGTACTTGCACCTGGAGCTCGCGAGCACGTTCTGTGCACATATAGCACTAGATCTGGGAGCTGGCGGCGGGAAAAGTTCCCTGCAAGTCTCAGTGAGTCCTCTTTCACGCCCGGAGGAGGGCAGACCCGAGTCGAAATTGGGGTCACCTGCTTGGCAAAGGAGGAAGCTCCCGCTACCCTCTGTCTCCGGTCTCGGCGGCCGCGGAGGCTCGCGGCTCGCCACGCTCTTCCGCCGCAGCTCGCAGCCTGAGACTGGGCGCCTGAGCCGTTGGTTGACATCGGAGTGCGTGCGAAGCTGGCTCGCGAGCCCGGTCCGCAGCCCCACTAGGCAAGCTGCGCTGCAGAACCCCGTCCCGTCCCTTACTGTCGGGGCGACTTACAGGCCGCCTCCAGGTCACCTGCTGCGGCACTCTCCGGGGCGCGAGCAGTCTTGGAGCTGGGCTTGGGACGCGAGCTCCTCATTCTCTGGACTGACTCTGGGTTTGTTGTCAGACAGGGTAGAAGGGATCAATCAGCCCGGAGACTAGAAGTCACCCAGACTTTGGCGGTGAAGCCCAGGGTCAACACAATTTCATTCTCTGCCCCATTGCCAAATCAATCTCAAAGACTTCAAAGTTAACAGGTTCTCAACCGTCTTCCCACCAAGCCATGGGAGCTGGTTGCATTTCCCTGTGTACGTGCTTATGTGAAACTTGAGCACCTGGATCGAGTAGTCAAGCACTCCTTTCCTTTCCTATCCTCCCCGCCTTCTTTCTTACAACGTGTTGGTGGGGAAAGGCAGGAAGACGAAGAAGGGGCCATACAGATAACCAGCATCAGATTCTTTAAACAAACAAACCCCAAACCACTGGAGGGTTTTCGGTCAGATCATGTAGAAAGGCAAACGCGCGTGTAAATTTCGAGAGAATGTTAGAGATCTTGAACGGACACACAGACCAGCATCACCACCAGCAACGCCAGGAAGAGAAGAAGAGGAAGGAATAAACAAGCAAATAAACCGAAAAATTTCCAGCTCCAGTTATCAACCCGGCCTGCTTCAGGCTGTCCAGATAGAGGCTGGCTGGCTGGCTGACTGACCGACTGGCCTTTAGCTCATCCGCCATGTCCAGTGTGACACCAAGCCCAACCTGAATTTGTCCTGAATGCAGGTGGGTGGAGGTGGTGGGGGGGGGGGGGCATGAAATGCCACAAGATCAGTAGCAAGTAGCAGCTGTGGATTTTCTCTCCTGGGAACCCCATTGCTTAGAAGGTTCCTGGTGATGTTTGTTTAACCAACAGCTTTCAAAGTAAACACAAGCAAATCACTCCAATGAAGTTGAAATCTAACCCTTAACCCTTACAAGAATTTGAAACCAGGGGTGCTGACAGAAAAGGGAATCTTTTAAATTAATAACACACACACACACACACACACACACACACACACACCCCATAAAGCTGCACCAAATTACTCAGAAGGATTCCAGAATGGTCATACACATGTAATTCTGTCGAAAAAGACATCACAATAAAGTGACCTAAAAGAAAATCTTTCTTCTCTCCCGCAAACCCGCGTTAGCAAAGGGCACAGTATTCCTGATTTTATGGAAGTGGGCAAAAGGAGTGGAAAGAAGGAGCAGGGAGGTCAGTTGAGCTCTTCGCCGCCAACCCGGGCTCTGCGGCAGGCACCGAACTTTCCAATATCAAGAAATTAAC